GAAGCATTTGAGACCCTGGCAGGCAGCTGGACACAGCTGTGATTTTGGGTTTGAGCCATGGAATGATTTACCAACCTTGCAGGAAGAACAAGAAGTCACAAAAGTTTAGATATTATAGTAGAAGTGGTCACAAAGTAAAGGGAAGAATTTTTGAGTGCTGTACAGGGGGGTTTGGTTTTGTACATGGGGGTCAGAGGTTTTAAGATGGAGGGATTTGGGCCTGTCCTGTCCTCCCTCTTTCTCCTTCCTTACCTCCATGTTCTTGGTGATGTTGGCACTCACAGATTGGTTTAGAGTAGAAAAGCACCATTTAATATAGGTAATAGGCATTGGAGACAAACTGTACCCATGGAACACGTAATGTACCATATAAAAGATAGAAAAGCACCATTTAATATAGGTAATAGGCATTGGGGAAAAACTGTACCCATGTAACACGTAATGTACCATATAAAAGATAGAAAAGCACCATTTAATATAGGTAATAGGCACTGGGGAAAAACTGTACCCATGTAACACGTAATGTACCATATAAAAGACAGCAGCAGCCCTGGGCAGAGGGGGAGAGAAGAAGCAGTCGGGAGTCAGAGAGGATGTCAGGGTGTGTGTGTGCCTCTGCCTGAGCTGTGAGCAAACCACAGCAGCCCCAGAAGAAAATCTTTTAGAGAACTTGCAATAAACTGCCTTGAGACCGGACAACAGAGACTGCTGAGCCTTTCTTTGGCAGCTCGGGTTGGAGGAGAGACTTTTCCACCACACAGAGCCACCCCTGACCGAGGGTGGTCTTCGACGGGGGAAAACTGGAGGCAGGTTGTTCCCTGTTCTGGGACACATTTTCACCCCTCCACGGTGCTCAGTAATTCAGGTCACAGCAGCTCAGCTCGTCCATGCCCTGCAGCCTGTGTGCAGAAAATGTCCCACCAAACAATCCCTGTCCAACACAGCCAGGGCAGGCTCTGCTTGCTGCCAGCCTTGGATCAGGGGAATTGTTCCCACCACCGGCTGGCACAGCAAGGCACCCCTGGACACAGAGGGGTCTGAGCAGCTTTGAGCTTTTGAGAGTCCTAGCAGCCAGTAATTTTTCTTTTTTCTGCTCTTACAGACGGGAAATCAGGAGTGGAGGCTACTGCAAAGTGCGTGCCAAGCCTTGTGCACTTAAAGCAGAGACCAATGTCCCTGCTGGCGTGTCACCAGGGAGTGAGGCCCAGAAGAGAAGGCTGAACACTCCCTCTCCATCACTGAGAGCTTCAAAGATTTCCTGCAGTGGTCATGGATTTTTCCCAGGTTAACAGAGGGGCCTCAGGCTCCTGTCCTGGGCTCAGAGTGGAGAGATCCAGAGCAGCACCAGGGGGATCAGAGGGATGGAGCAGCTCTGCTGGGAGGGAAGGCTGGCACAGCTGGGGTTGTTCACCTGGAGAGGAGAAGTTTGGGGTGACCTCAGTGGCCTTGCAGAGCCTGAAGGACCTGGCAGGAAATGTGGAGAGACAATTTACAGAGGTCTGAGTGCCAGGACACAGGGAATGGCTTCCCACTGCCAGAGGGCAGGGATGGATGGGATATTGGGAATTGGGAATTGTTCCCTGGGAGGGTGGGCAGCCCTGGCACAGGTGCCCAGAGCAGCTGTGGCTGCCCCTGGATGCCTGGCAGTGCCCAAGGCCAGGCTGGAAGCACTCTGGGACACTGGAAGGTGTCTCTGCCCATGGCAGGAGGAGCTTGAAGGTCCTTTCTAACCCAAAGGGATCCCCTGAAGAAGCCAAAGGGCTGCCTGACCGTGTGGAGCAGCACCAAGGAATGGAAGGACACAGATTTGGGAGGAGCCACTCCTCACACCTGGGCAAAGGTGCCCACAGCAGGAAGGGCAGGAGCACAGCAGGGCTGGCACATCTTCCCAGGGCTCAGACGAGGCTGAGATGGGGCAGGGGACACTCAGCTCCGGCTTCCTGAGCCTTTCACGTCCACACAGAGCGAGGACTGAAGGAAGGATGTGCACAGAAACAACTCCCCACAGCTGCCCAGAGCTGCTGCTGCTCTCTCAAGGTGACACTGGGGGTGGGGACAGCAGCCAGCAGAGCCTGCTTTTCTCCTCTCCTTAAAATAAAAATAATAGGCCCTTCTCCCTTGTGGCCCACATGAATATTTCATCAGCAAACTGCCTCATCCTGTATTAGATTTTTCTCTCCCACTGGCTGAGATGGGAAACTCACAGACTCTTCCACAGCATTTCCAGGGGCTGAGGACATTTTGGGCACAGACAGAGTGATATCAGGATAAAAAAGGATGGAAACAGTCAAGGCTGCAAGCAATTGTGTGTCTTTGGGAAGTCAGTGCTGATTCCTAGGACAGCACTCTGATATTCCATGGGTGGAATTCCAGTGTGGTGGAAACATATTCCATGTGATGGAAACACCACATCCTGCTTGTATAGGGTGAGGTTCCCTGTCCCTCTGTCCCTTGCTCCAGGGGACCTGAGCATGGTTGTCGGAATCTGAGGTATTGGTGATTCTGAGATTGTAGAAAGTCTCTGTCTTTCAGCCCCGCTGCCAAAGCAGAAGCCATAATTGGTCTGTGCTGGTTTCAAGGTTGTTTATTCTGTTTATCTCTAACATGTTCTGCTGCCCTGCCGCAGCTCTGTCCTGCAGGGCAGCGTGTGGGGCTCTGCCCTCAGTGGGATGGTACAAACATTAAATACCACAAACTACCTGTGCTGGATTTACAATAACGTGCCAATATCTGTCACCTACGTTGGACAGTGTGTCCCCAGCCTGAACCAACAGAAAAATGCCAACAGCACAGTGAAACATGGAGGGCATGAAGAAGGAGAAAAAGGACAAGACACACCCAATTCCCTCCATCTTGTCCCCTTTGAACCCCGTGGGTCTCAGATTCAGTCCAAGAAAGAAACTGAGAATTTCTAGGCAGGCAGAAGCCTGGGAAAGAGTTGGAAAAGAATGTAGATAATTCTTTATCTCTCTTGTTCTTCACACTGTTTATAGTTAAGTTCTATCACTGTTTGTCAAGCACTTTGCACCAATGGTGTGGGTTGTTTTCACTTCAGGACCAATAAAGTCGGGGCTCACCAAGCTCTGTATAAAAGAGCATTGTATTTTGAATAAACTGGAGTTTTACTCTCAGCAGCTTCTGAGTCAGTCTTCTCATTTCCATCCTGCCTCAACAGCGACAGGACCCCTAATCTAGAATCCTAAAATTTTATTTTTGCACCCGTGCCACACTTAATTATTACTCATATCAAACACTCAGAGCTTGTAATTCATCCTGTAGGATTGAAAACTCTTCTCCATGGACAGAGATCACAGCCAGTGTCTCTGGGGGCTCTGTCCAGGGGGGTTCCTGACCCCTGCCAGGGTCCCAGACCTGCCAGGGCAGCCAGAGGGAAGCCCTGGATTCCCTCACACGGTGACTGTGCAGTGACACCTCTGCAGGCCTGGCTGCCCTGGGAAGAGTGAGGGAGAGGAGACATCAAATCCCTAAGATCAAATACTGCAGCTCCAACAGCCTGTGCTGGCTTCCCTTACACGCAGGGCTGGTTAAAGGAGGGCAGCTCACAGCGAGGGAGCAGGGCTGGAAATTCGATGTGCTGATGGTTTCCTGCTGTCAGAGGCCCGGGATCCGGGCCCAGCCCTGGCCACACTGCCCTGGGGTCACTACAGGAGCCATTCCCTTCCCTGCTCCTTTTTCCCTCACCGGGGTTTTCACTCCCCAGAAGGTTTGCCTATCCCCAGGAAGAAAAGGAAAATTATCTGTCTTATTTTAGAGTATTTATAGAACAGAAGATCTGGGGGGAGAGGTTGTTTTTTTTTTTTTTTTACTAAGACAGAACTACCAAGAGACAAGAGACCCAGGAAAGCTTCACACGAACACCTGAGGAAAAATCTGAACTGCAGGAATTCAGAAAGATCTGAACTGTCACCACAGGTGACACAGAATAGAAGAGACCTTAAAGCTCGTCCAGTGCCACCCTGCCAAGGCAGGGACACCTCCCACTGTCCCAGGTGCTCCCAGCCCTGTCCAGCCTGGCCTTGGGCACTGCCAGGGATCCAGGGTGGGCACCCTGTGCCAGGGCCTGCCCACCCTCACAGGGAACAATTCCCAATTCCCAATATCCCATCCATCCCTGCCCTCTGGCACTGGGAGCCATTCCCTGTGTCCTGTCCCTCCATCCCTTGTCCCCAGTCCCTCTCCAGCTCTCCTGGAGCCCCTTCAGGCCCTGGAAGGGCTCTGAGCTCTCCCCAGAGCTTTTCTCCAGGCTGGACATGGATGTCAGTCCCTCAATGTCCAGCCAAAAAAACTCTTAGGAAAAGCCTTCAAACCCACTCCTGCTTTGGTGGCTGTTCCTGGCAGGACATTCCCTGGACAATTCCTGCCCTCCAGCCCAGCTTCTCCCTCCTGTGCCAAACAGGAACAAAGCCAACCCATCCCATCCTCCAGGGCTCCTGGGGGCAAAGCTACACCCAAGGGAGAACAGCAGGCTGCCACAGGAGAGTGGCACAGGTGACAAGGCCAGGGGGACAGAGAGGGCTGGGACTTGCATGGGAAGAGGCCCCAGGGCTGTGTCCAATCCCCCTTTGCTCACCTGGCAAGAATGGCAAGGACATTCTTCTCTCTCTCAAGATTTTTCATAGAAGTGCACAGAGAGAAGAAATATAAAACAATTTCTATTTCTGCTCCTTGTTTTTCCTATGTGGAATGTGTTTGGAGAATTGTTTACCTGGGGTGAGTGCTTGGTTGGATTCTGGTGAGGATTGTTTGAGCCTGGTGGCCAATCCAACCCACCTGGGACTGGACTCTCAGAGAGGGTCACGAGTTGGGAGTGACTTAGATATGGTAGCTAGAAAAAGTAGGTTTGTAGTTTAATGTCTCCTTTAAATAGTATATTAATGTATTATAGCATAGTTATAATAAAGAAATCATTCAGCCTTCTGACCTGGAGTCTGACATCAGCATTTCTCCCCCCAGCTTCACCTGCATTTTACCATACTCACCTTCTTCTCGTCCCCCTCCTGCAGGAGCTGCAGGTGGCTCCTCTTCTCGCTGTCCCTGCGCAGGGAGCTGTTCTGGTGGTGGGGCAGCCCCGTGGGGGGGGACACGCTGCGGCCCTGGGGGTCCACCCAGGTGTAGATGTGGTTGGTGACGTATCCCCCCGGGATGCGCCCCACCGAGTGCACCGCCAGGTTCAGCTTCTTGCAGCCCTTCAGCACCTGGGAGACAAGGCAAGGACAAGGGGTTAGTGGCCACAGGGCCACCTGGGCTCCAGGCAGACACAGCTTTGCACTTCTGGGGGCTGCAGGATCTGCAGCTCCTCTGCAGCCATCGGCTGAATGATGGAGCTGCATAACAAGCTGGGGTTTTCTATTCTCTCCTGGCTGCAACACAGTGAAGGCACAGCTGCTGCTGCTGAGAAAACCCAGAGAAAAGCTTTCCCATCAGCCAGGAAAGAGCAGAGTGGGGAGGAGAGTGGGCAGAGCCATGGCCAGGATGGGCTAACCAGGACTGAGGAGCTCCTGCAGCTCTGGAGAGGAGTCAGAGCAGGACAGGGAGCAGTGCTGGGGGACAGCAGCACTGCCCCTTGTCCCAGGTCCTCTCCAGCTCTCTGCAGCCCCTTTAGGCACTGCAGAGTGCTCCAAGGTGTCTCTGAAGCCTTCCCCTGCAGGCTGAATATGGATATCAGCCTCTCCATGACCGTGCTGGCAGCAAACAGAACCAGGGTGGGAAAAGCCTCGGCTCAGCCCCAGCTCTGTCCCCACAGCTCCAGCCTCTGCCGTTGGAAAAGCTCCTGGTGCCTCCAGGGAACATGGACAGCACTCCCAGGAATTGAGCCACTGAGTTACCACTGCCTGCCCCAGCACAAGCAGTCAATTAATGGGAGGAATAATTACTAAAACATGCTCACACTCAAACCAGCATGCACAGAGATGACCTTGGGGGCCAGAGGAGGTGATTTGCAATTGCTCCTCTGCCCCCTCCAGCTTCCACCGTGGGAAGCTGACACAGAAACTTCAATTAACATGGAGGAGCTCTCCCTGGGGACAGCTGTAAGTGCTGATCCCTCCAGAGGCCTCAGGGACCTCAGCACTGCAGAGCTGCTCTCAGAAAGGAGGTGTTTGGGGTTTTTTTCCCATATATACATCATTTGGATGAGCTGCCCTGCCAGGTCTCCTGTCCCCACTGAGCAGAGAAGCTGCTGAGCAAAGCTTGTGGCTGGAAGAACTAAAACCAGCAGCTCCTCAGGAAAGGGTAAAATTGTCAGTAACAGGGGGCTGGCTGCATCCCAGCCCTGAGCTGGCAGCACTGCTGCTCCTCCCTGCCAGAGCCACAGAGAATCAGCTCAAAGCCCAGCTCAGCATCTCCATCACACACAGCAACTTGGCTGCAAACTTGTCACCTGCTCCCAAGGTCACCATGTGCCTGAGGGCTGGCACAAGGACTGCCAAACCAGTGGGGACAGCCGCAGAGCATTCACCCCCCTGGGCTGTTCCCCAGCTCCTGCAGCTCCCCAGGCCCTCAAACAGGTCCCTGCTGGGGTCTCCTCCCTCCCTGCAGGCACCCAGCTGGTGCCAGAGCTGCTCCCCGTGCTCCATCCTGCCCAGGTCTCTCTGGGATGATGGGGCAGGTTCTGAGCCCCCTGCCCACCCCAGGGGACCTCTCTCCCATGGGCACCGTGGCTGTGCCAGGACTCAGGGCACAGAGCAGCTTCCTGAGCCAAAGCTGCCACACAGCCAGGCCCAGCATGGGCTGAAGTCCATGAAAATCAATGAGCTGGGGATGGCAGGGACCCTTCTCCCCTACCCCAGAGCTACCAGGGCAAGGGAGCCCTGTCAGATGGGGTACAGGATCCCTGGGAATGTGTTTTGTTCATCCATTGGAGCTGTCTCTACAAAACCTCTTTGGAGTCTGCAGATCATCACTGTACCCCTGTGCCTGTGTGCAGCTCTGGGCCCTTCAAAGGAAGAACTGGAGCGTGTCCAGGGAAGGGAACGGAGCTGGGAAGGGGCTGGAGCCCCAGGAGGGGCTGAGGGAGCTGGGAAGGGGCTCAGCCTGGAGAAAAGGGGGATCAGGGGGGACCTTGTGCCTCTGCACAGCTCCTGACAGGAGGGGACAGCCGGGGGGTCGGGCTGGGAACAGGGAACAGGGACAGGAGGAGAGGGAACAGCTCAGGCTGGACAGGGCAGGCTCAGGGTGGACAGCAGCAGGAATTTCCCCATGGAAAGGGGGCTCAGGCCTTGGCAGGGACTGCCCAGGGAGGTTTGGGGTGCCCATCCCTGGAGGTGTTTAGGGAAAGACTGGAAATGGCACAGGGATCCCCTTTCCTTCCCTCCCCAGAGAATCCATCCTGGCAGGGAGGAGAAGGAGCAAAGAATACCCTTGGGATTGAAACCCACAGGAGAGACTCGAGGCACGAGGGCAGGGACAGGGCACAGGAACTGGGACAGGGCACAGGAACAGGGATGGGGCACAGGAACAGGGACTGGGCACAGGGACAGGGCACAGGAACAGGGAGTGGGCATAGGAAAAGGGATCAGGCACAGGAGAAGGGACTGGGCACAGGAACAGGGACTGGGCACAGAAGGGACTGGGCAGAGTAGCAGGGATGGGGCACAGGAACAGGGACTGGGCACAGGAGCAGGGACTGGACACAGGAACAGGGACTGGACACAGGAACAGGGACTGGACACAGGCTGGCTCCAGCCCGGGCACCCTGAGTGTCACAGCTGCCCCAGGGACAGGGCAGGGTGGCTGCTGAAGCCTGGCAGAGCCATTTAGCCTCAGCCAAATGTCACCCCCTGGCAGGGCAGAGCTGCTCTCTGGAGGCACAGGGAGATTAGCAGGGATCAGAGGCCAGAGATTTACACGGGGATTTTTATGTCCCCCTGCAGCTCCCTTGACAAGGCCACCAGGAGCGGGATCTGGGCTCAGGGAGATGTTTTATGCATGGAGGTGACAGCAGGAGCCCGAGGGGAGGGGACAGCTGCACAGAGCCAGGGCTCCCTGGCAGCCTCCAGCCCAGAGGGGAGTGAGCAGAAGCTGGGAGTGCCCAGCAGGACACGCTGGTGACAGTGACTCCCAGACAGACAGGCTGGTGACACTCTGCAGAGCCCTTTCTACATTTCCTGAGGTCCCTCCTGGACTCAGTGAGAAGCAGTTCCCTGTCAAGCACAGTTCCTTTCCCAAAAACCCCTCCCTGCTGATGCCCAGGGCAGGATGCAAGAGGAGCCCACCAGAGACCCTCCCTCACTGAGAAGCCCTTCAGGACACACCTTTTGGACCTCCTGACCAGCACCTTTTGGAGACCCTTTGGGTGATCACAGGTGAGGGAGGACAGCAACACCCACAAAAGATTTTTAAGGATTTTAGAGGGATAATGTAGCAATAGGACAAAGGGGAATGGCTTCACACTGAGGGATGGTAGAATTAGATTGTAGATTGAGAAGAAACTCTTCCCTGTGAGGCTGCAAACCCCTTCCTCAACCTGGTGACCACTAAAGTCAGTTCTGCTCAAACATCTGAGCTTCCAGGAAGCTTTGTGTCCCTCAGGCAGCAGCTCTTTAAACTGCAGCTGCCACGGCTGTGAGAGGAGATGAGGGGGAAGCAGCTTTCCCTCAGTTTCCCTGGGATAACAAGGACAGCAGGCTTGGGGACAGGATCTGGCACACATCTACAAAACCTTTGTGCAGCCACACTCTGAGCCAGGCTTTAACAAAGTGCTTGGCACCAGGAGCTGCAGAGTGACGAGGCACCAGGTGAGCCAAGTGGGAGAAGCTTCCACCTGCACCCAAACCAGGGCAGAATCCATCAGCAGCTGCCCTGCTGAGCTCCAGGAGAGCAGAGTTTCCATCCTGCAGAGTGAGAAATGCTTCACTTCACCTCTATTTTGGGGTTTTTTTCCCCCCTCCCAGGTTTTACCAAGGCCAGACCTCAGCCCTGTGTGCAGGGAGGGCTCAGAGCAGGGCCCAGGTTCTGCTCCAGGGTCCCAGCAATGGGACAAGAGGAATGGGCAGGAACTGATGCCAGGAAGTTCCACCTGGACACGAGGAAAAACTTCTTCCAGTGCAGAGACTGAGCACTGGGACAGGAGCCCAGAGAAGGTTTCCCCACTGTGTCCTCCCCCCTTGGAAGCCTTTTTCCTGCTGCTCCCTGTGCCCAGCTGCTGCCAGGCTTTGGGCACTTCGCTGTCCCCATTCCCAGCGAGGTGCCACAGTGCCAGCAGGCTGGCACCACCCTCCCATGGGGATTTTGCTGCCAGCCCTGCTGATGAAGGCACCACAGAGGGGCCAGAGCCTGCCCACACCGACACACAGATCATCCCAGCTCCCTGGCACAAAAGGAGAAGCTTGTCAGCAGAGTTCTAATCACACAATTCCAGAGTCACTGAGCTGGGAAAAGACCTCCCAGACCATCAAATCCAAGCTGTGCCCAGTCCCCACCTCATCCTCAGCCCAGAGCTCTGAGTGCCAGCTCCAGCTCTCCCCATCTCCAGGGATGGGGATTCCAAACCTCCCTGGGCAGCCCCTGCCGATGTTTAATCGCCCTTTCCATGGGAAAATTCCTGCTGATGTCCCCCTGAGCTGTTCCCTCTCCTCCTGTCCCTGTTCCCTGTTCCCAGCCCGACCCCCCGGCTGTCCCCTCCTGTCAGGAGCTGTGCAGAGCCACAAGGTCCCCCTGATCCCCCTTTTCTCCAGGTTCAACCCCTTCCCAGCTCCCTCAGCCCCTCCTGGGGCTCCAACCCCTTCCCAGCTCCGTTCCCTTCCCTGGACACGCTCCAGCCCCTCCATGTCCTGCCCAAACTGACAGGCCCAGAGCAGGACAGAGGATCTGAGGTGGCCCCAGCAGTGCCCAGCACAAGGGGGCATCACAAAGGACAGGCTCTGGGTGGGAATTCTACAAGGGAAAACTTTTTCCCCCCCAGCACACAAAGTCCTGTGTGCACTGACTGCAGAGATACCCCCCAGAGCCACAGCAGAACTCACCCTGAGTGAGTTTTTGGGACATGAGGGGCACACTGAACCTCACCCAGCCACCCCTAAATAACAAATTCCACCTCCTTAATGCCCTGTGCAGAATCAGACAGTGCAGGCTGCATTTCCACCTCCTTCCTGGAGCCATTGCAGGAATTTGCAGCCTCAGAAAAGATTTGGCTTTCCCCATCTCTGATGTGTTTGAGGACCATGGGGTGGGAGGCTCGGGGCTGGCAGCTCACCTG